TCCTGAGTTCAATCCCAAAAAAAAAAAAAAAAAGATGATGACAGAGGGCCTGGAATTTAGCTCAGTGGTTCCGCTGCCTGCCTTGCAAGTGCAAGGTCCCGAGTTCCATCCCCGGTACCAAAAACAAAAACAAAAACAACAACAACAACAAAAAACCACGATGACAAAAAGCAGAAAGTAAGTTAACACTCCATTTGGAAAAGACCCATCTTTTTCTTTTCTTTTTTTTTTAGTATGGTGATGGAACCCAAGGCCTCTGGGATACTAAGCAAGTGCTCTTCACACTCAGCCACATCCCCAGCCCTTTCCTTTAAAAAAAAAACCAAACAAAAACTAATTGGGATTGGGAGCAGTATAAAATTTGGAGGTTGTGCTAACTTTAGGCCGTTTACAAGAGGTAACATATCCTGAGTGGCCAGAGAACCCCCCTTGTTTGGAGGAGCCTTGTGTATTCCAGTCTCATCTCCGCTGGAATTCTAGGTCAGTGTGCTCTCTGTAGAACAGTTCATCATAGATCATCAGAGGGATACTGAGAAGCTGGTGGTGAGCCTCGTGTGTGTCATTCAGTTGCAGTTTTGTAACTGGAACACCCTGTATTTTGCCCTGGCAATCTGTGTTTCCAGTAGAGAAATGAAGAGACTCAAAGTTTTTGTCTCAGAGGTACCCAGGGTAGCTAGCTTTTCCCCCTAGGATCTTTAGAATATCAGTTTATGAGGGCTACCTTTCCAGAGTAGCACTGGGTGGCTTAACCATTCCAGAGGGTGGAAGTCTAAGGTAAAGGCATCGTTGATGTTGGCTCCTTCTGAGGGCCGTGTGGGGAAGCATGTTTTAAGGCTCTCTCCGTGACTTTCAGGTGGCTGCCATCTTTTTCTGTCTTTTCACACGGTGCTATCATAGAGTGCACGTCTATGTCACATTGTCCCTTGTTATAGGAACACCAGTGACAATGGAATAGGAACACCCTACGCATCACAGCCTCCTCATAACTAATTGCATCTGCAGTGATCCGATTTCCAAATAAGATTACATTCTCAGGTACTAGGGGTTATAACTTCAATATACGATACACATTTTAGGGGAATACAATTCAACCATAAAAGTCATTCTACTCAGATTTTTGTTGGAAGTGGTGCCAGTGATGAGTCTGTTAGCTTTCTTCAGCTGCTTAGAAAACCACTTCTCTTAGCAATAGCTGGTTGGATACTAAGCTTTCTTTTATATCCACAGGCCATAGTTGTCTAGTCAACACAGTGGATCCCCGACTTGTCTCCAGTCCACGTCTCCTGGGTCAGAATCTCTGAGGTTGGAAGCTTGAAGTCTGTGATTTTAGCAGGCTCCCTGGGAGATCTGATACAGCCAACCCTGCTCTTCTTCTTTTTTTTTTTGTACCGGGGATTGAACTTGGGACCTTGCGCTTTCAAGGCAGGCAGCAGAACCACTGAGCTAAATCCCCAGCCCCTCTGCTCTTCTTGAGCTGGCTTTGGGGAAGCACTGGGCTCTGTCAGTCCTCTTCACCTACTGGTTTTCCAAGCAATGTAGTCCTAGATGATTCTCACCTTGCTTGAGTGAGTAACTGTGCTAGAGAAGGTTGAAATAACCCTTTGAAAACCAGATGGACAGCCCCATGTGGTGGTGCATGCCTAGAATCGAAGTACAGGGGAGGCTGAGGTGGGAGAACCACTACAAGTTCAAGGCCAGCCAGGGCTACATAGTGAGTTCAGGGCCACCCTGGACTACATATCGAGACCCTGTCTCAAAAGAAAAAAAACAAAAACAAAAAAAATCCAGATCAACATTGAGTTTGAGTGAAGAGCAAAATTCAAAGCTATCACTATGAAAAATGCATTTCCCTTTTTAAAAATGTTATTAATACATGTTCACAGTACATAATGTTTACATTCATATTAAAGAATAATACATGTACTTAACATATCTTTGTAGTAGCAGAAGGGTTTGGTTAGTAACTCCAGATGGTCTGATGCGATTTCACCTGTTCATTAGTCTCCTTACCTGTTAGGAGTCGGCTCACACAGTCCAGGTTCTTAGATATTATTGGATGGATGATGCATTAAGGTGATTAATGTATCCACTGCAACATTTATTTGGCATCCTTAGAATCATACAGCTTCTGATTCTGATAATATATTAAGAAAGGAATTTATTTCCAAACCACACGTAAGGGCCAAATACAACCTGCCATCTGTTTAATGTATGCCCTACACACTAAGAATGTTTTTCTATTTTAAAGTTGTTAAAAACATTCAAAAGAGTAATGTCACGCCAAGTAGAAATATGAGAAATTCAAATTTGTATTCTGAGTGTGGTGGTGTATGCTGATATTGCCAGCTTCTTCAGAGGCTGAGGCAGGAGGATCACTTGAGCCCACCGACCTGTACATTATAGCAAGATCTTGTCTCAAAAAAAAAAAAAAAAGAACAGAAATTGAAAGTTTGGTATCCATAAATAAAGGTTTACTAGGACACAACCATGGTTATTACTGTAATTACTATCTGAGGTTGCTTTTGTGCTATAATGTTGGAGCTGTGTAATGTAACAAAGCTAACAGTGTTTATTATCTGGTCCTCCCGGGAAAGGGTTAACCACTGCTGTCTTCATCTCTGTTGTTCAGAAGACACCTAGGAGAGGGTTGTGAGGGGTGAGGTCCGAGGTGGTTCAGGGAACCTGGATCACGGCCCTCTTTGGAAACCAGGTAGCCGTGGAACCTTGGGCATGTTGGTGAGCTCCAGCAGACCGTGTCCTTGTAGGTACCGAGAGGGAGGGGCTGCCAAACCCTTTGCCAGTGTGGATTTCTTTGACTATGAAACACAGAGTAAAAGGTGACCCGAATGGAAAAATTGGGGGAATGTAGTGATTGTCCCAGGAAATCTTCAGTGTCTGTTTGATTTTACTCTTCTATTTAGGGCTCCTTCTCTAAGATCTTTCTCCCACTTCTGTACATCAGATGCAGAGCTGTTCTCCAGGACACAAACAAATGTGACCTCAGCTTACACCATTTGTTGTCTGTCCGCGCCTCTGTTTTCTGATCTGATTTAGAGTTGGACTGAAAAGGGAGTCAAGGAGAAAGAACCTGAAACAGAAATAGGGCTAAGGGATCCCATTGATAGAATGATAGCACCTCCCTTCTCAGAAAGGACCCCTGTGACCACCTTTAGTCACTCGGTATGCTCTCCCGACCGACTACTAATGGTCAGCAATGAAATACCTTGTTAGGATGATCCTTCTTTCCTTCTTTTTTTGGTACCAGGGATCAAACTTGGGACCTTGTGCTTGCGAGGCAGGCGGCGGAACCACTGAGCTAAATCCCCGACCCTAGGATGATCCTTCTTAAGCCATGGTACTGCTACTAGTTTTCAGGCCTTGGTAAAGAAGACTGGGAGAAATAGGAGATGTGATCCAAAATTACAGTTTGAGTTTTTAAAAATTTATTACAGCAAAATACATTTTTCTAGAAGGAACTCTGATTCCCAGCTTACAGTAGGGCACATTGATGGGTTAAGGAATTGTAAAGACCTACTAACAAGATGGACTGAGTGCTGTCAGAAGAGATGGCTGGTTTTTTTCCCTCCCATGTGGTTAGGGAAATAAGTATAGTTTTTCCAAAAATTTTGTTTCTGGGATGCAGTTGTTTTTCTATTGCTTTTTAATGTGAGCTGTTGGAGAAGAAAGGGAATTAATGAGATTGTAAAGGCACCTCTCCCCTCTATGAGTAGACTGCCCCTTACTCCAGAGAGGACTGGCGTGGTTGGATATATCCCAGCCAGTTGTCAGCACCCTCCTCGGTTTGATTTCTAAGTCCTTGAAAGCCGTTGACCCTTTTGCTTTTGAGTTCCCATTCACCAGCCAAAAGGCCATGCATCAGGGTGAGGGAAGTGAAATTTAAAATTTAGTGGGCTTGGAAAAATGCACTTCTATAATCAGCTTGAGAGCTGAGAGGATTTGTGAAATCATGTTGGATTAATAGCCATTGATCGCTAATCAAACACTATTTAGCTTTGTGCGGAGAACGCCAATGGAGAAAGGTGTGAGCATCTTGCCAACAGGGCCCATTGAGCAGGGATGATGGGCCGAGGGTGGGGGTCTCCACAGAGGCGTGGGCGCTCGTCCTTCAAGGGGTGCTTGTCAGTCGCCAGCGGGGCTGGTGAAAGGAAGGACGCCAGAGTCTGATGGCTGGGGTGGTATTGATGTGCCTTCACTGACTAATCAGATTGAAAGAGTCCCATGGTATTTATGTCACTTTGATTTTCATCAAACAATTGGAGACGACAGCACTCCATTAAGGAGAGGTTGATCGAGAACTAAAACCAAATAAATTAGGGTCTCAGTTTAATCAAATTATCCCTCTTCTGGCTCTGGATTAAGTCAGAGAGACAGCGTCAGTCTGGGAGCTTGTGATTGGCTGAATCTTTCCCCGATTTTTAAAGAATCTGATGAAAGGGGAAGCATTTTAACAGAGACCACTATAATCATCCTGCTAAGCAGTCGTGCTAACACAACAACAAAACCCACAAAATTTATTTCTGCAGCTATATTATTTTATTGTGAATAACAAACCAGTTATTAAAACTGAAGTTCCACTGAACTGGAATGAGAGGAAGAAATGGACGAGGGAGAGAAGTTCAGCTGGAATTTTTCTGTGTACTTTTGGGGTTTTCTTGGCATACTTTCAGCACATTGAAAATCTCAATTTGGAGAAAGGCTCTAATAAGAATTACCGCTCTCTCTTTTTCACAGGATGTGCTAAGTATTAAAATTGGTTTGTTTTGCACACGATGGATTTGAAACAATGTAGGACAAGTCAGCAAGTTAGTTGTTGAGAATGGGGCATCAGTGTATATGAGAGAAAAGAAGGTGGTGATAATTCATGGGAAAGAGATGAGTTTTTATTACCTAAAGTAGGGCAGAAAAAAATGACATCACCCAAAGGTCGTGGGTGTAGTTAGAGGTGTACTTGTGAGTGATGAGAGCAGAGGCTGAGGGAGGCTTTTGGAGCGATTATCATGTTCTATTTCTCAGTCTGCGAGTTGCTTGTAGGGGAATTCAGCCTGTGAAAATTCATCGAGCTCTCTGCTTACAATATATTTTCTTTTACCAGAGATTTCAGTACAAAGTTTTAAAAGTTTGCTTCGATCTGCTATTTAAAAATGGGATTTTTGTATTAGTTTCTTATTTCTGCTGTAACAGATGATCTCAAGTGCAGGACTGAAAACAGCAGGTGTATTTTCTTACAGTCTTATAGGCTGGAAGTTTGACATGGCTTTTACTAGAATGAAATCAAGGGGGTGGCAGGCTGCGTTCCTTCCCGGAGCCTCGAGAGGGAATCGCTTCCTAACAATTTCCAGCTTCTATAGACCGCCTGCTGTCCTTGGTTCATGGTCACTTTCCTCCATGTTCAAAGCCAGAAGTTTGAGGTCGAGCCCTATTCACTTTGCATAACTCTCACCTCTTCCACATCTGTTGTCTGAACACTCCTGTGAGGACATGGAGTCCAACAGGATAATGTAAAGAATCTCCCCACGTGTTACGGTTTTTGTCTACATGTCCCCCCAAAGCCTTATGTGGTCATAGGGCTTTTTCAGAGATGGCTAGATCTAGAGTGTGTAATGGTAGGATTAAGGGTGTGTGATTATTAAACCAGTGCGCTGATTGTTTTGGCAGCACCCTAATCTCAGTAGCCTGAATAAGATAAAAGAGGCAGAAAGACATTGTTAAGGTCCCTTCTTGCATTTGCTGTCTTCTGCCGCCATGAACTCTTCTTAGCCAGCACTTCACCGGACCATGGGACCTTGTTCCCTGGGACGTGGTATTTCCTGAGGTCCCTTCTAATATTCTGTGAAAGAAACAAATGACCGTACCAAAGAAAACATTTAGAACTAACAACTAGGACAGAGGAAATTTTTAATTAAAACGTCTTTGGAGCAGGAATCTAATCTTTAGATTTGGCATTCCCAACTATAACAAGACCTCATAAGATAAATGAGGACAATCAGCTTCAGGAAACTTCAGCTTTTCTTCTTGTCTCGAGTTGAGGGTGCCAGAATTGATAGTGGTCCCAAGAAGCTGTGGGACACCCCTCCAGTTTGGTTGTTTAGGTCATCCTCTCCTCTCCTCCTTTAATTTTCATTTACGTATTTCTGTTTTTTTCTAACTTTCTTTGGTTTTTTTCAGACTTTTATTCATTGATTTAAATATTTTTGACTATGTGCTAGGCATGTGCTGATACTGAGATGTGAATTAAAGAAGACCCAGCCACTATCCTCTGAGTCTAGATCAGGGCTCTCCAAAAATATATATAATTTTAAATTACGTACCTCTTAGCAAAACAAAACAAGACAAAAAGAGAATATGTCCCTTCCTATCCCTAAGGCATGTTGTGAAGCAAGTACAGAAATTGGAAATTAACCTGCTCCCATAGTGCCTGGGAGTGTCCTCAGTCACAGTGTGAAACCCCACCATGTTACAGTTGTCACAGTAAACAGGAAGGAAGCAGAAAGAGTGGTAAGGTTGTCAGGTTACTGACAAAGAAATGTGTGACTACAAGCAGTTTCCCAGCCTCATCCCAGTGTTCCCCTGCGCCTCGTGGATCTGTTCGGTGTCTGGGTTTCAGTGTCACTGTCCTTATTTTCTCCATGTGGCCCGGCCTTGCTGCTAACGCTGGAGGTCTGTTTGGAGGACCACACTTAGAGCCTTTCCCAGGGACTCATCCTGACTCTCCTGTATTGCTCGGACACATTTTATTTAGATCCCCTTTCCTGCCAGGCCTCCCAGCCTGCTGCCCCAACTAAGTAGTCATCTTTAAAATGAGCCCGCAGCCTCTGGGGAATAACTCACATCCTTTTCCCCCTCAGGAAGGATTTGTTCGTGTTGACCGAGATTACGTGCTGAAGTCAGCAGAGCTGGCAAAAACTGCAGGCTGCAAACATTTCAACTTGCTGTCCTCTCGAGGAGCCGATAAGTCAAGCAAATTTTTGTATTTACAAGTTAAGGTTGGTGCACATTTCTGTCTTCAGTATGCTCTGGGCTAAGTGGCAGTACTAAATAATACAAACTATTACACAGTATTTAAAAAACATTAAGTACATTTAATTATGCATTGTTCATAGCTACAGGGGCTGTTTTTGCAGGAATATATTCAGGAAGCAGGAAAGATTTGCAATATCTTCTCTCCCTTTTGTATGTGTGTAGTGGGAGGATACTGGAGAACTGAATCCAGGGCCCTGTGCATGCTAGGAAAGCACTCTACCACTGAGCTACATTTCCAGCCACTCTGACTTTTTTGAGACAGGGTGTTGCTAGTTGCCCAGGCTGCCCTCAACCTTGTGATCATTCTACCTCAGCCTCCCAAGTAGCTGGGGTTGTAGGCATGCACCTCCACTCCCAGTTTCTTGCCTGCTGTGAATTACCCAAGAATCTGTGCAGGGAGCTGTGATGGCACTCGCCTTGAAGGTCAACGTGGCATTTTAGTGTTGGAGGAGCCATGGAGGCTGTGACTCCAGTTCGCTAATGGCTGAGAGGAAGGAGCTTATACTGGGAAGATCTGGGGACATTTATCCTGAAGCAATGTGCTGATTACAAGCTCAACTCTTCATAAAAGTTTTGTTTTATTTTTTAAAAATTCACACATCTTCTATTTTATATGTATTGTATTCTCATGATACATATCCTTGTTTATTTTAATAAAAAAGTTAAATTTCCATTTTCTAACTTTGAAGTAAAACTGGTGCTACAGGAGGATGGGTCATGACTTTGGGTCCTGATGCATTCCACACGCCCACACTCTAAGAAGCAGGGTGTAGAGGTTATATGGCCAAACCCCGTTTCCATTGTGAATTTCTTTAACATAAGTTCACCTGGCTTCTGCTTACTTACATACCTGCAGCAGGAGGGAGTTGGCCATGCTGTTAGCCAGCTACTTGTCAAAAAGTCCTCCCCTTGGTCAGATCCACTTGTCCAAAGCCCTCACTTTGAGCTGAAGTCAGTTGCTCTGTAAATGTCAATTGTTATTTCTGCATTTTAAAAGGAAAAACATGTCCAGTCCTACTTTTGGGTGTATAGTTGTTAAGATATTTGATTACAGTTTCCTAAACTGTATTTTTTCCAGAACTGTAAGTGCTTGCACTCTGCTTTATTGTTTCTTCCTTTCGCCTCTTCTTCACCCCGAAGTTGTACTGGACTTGTACTGGGCTGCTTTTCACAATGCTGTTTTTCTGAAAAGAGATATAAGATTGGCACCATTTTAGTACACATCTTTATCATTGTGTTGCTCATGGTCAGTTTGTGGTAATGTACATTTCCAGATCTTTTTCCATGTGGCTTATAGCTGAATCGTGTCACTAATGTCCTAAAATAGTGTATGAAAGCACATGAAGATCAGTGAGTCACCAATGAAGTCAAGAATGATAGTTTTACTAGTTTCTTTAGAACCCTTAAAAAATGTTTTTTCAAAATACACATCATCAAATAGAATATTTTGCTCTCATTGGCAAGGTGGATATTTATACCTTTTAGGAATGAAAATATTATGTATATTTCCTCAGTTTTAAAGATAAAGGAACGACTAGTACCCACTCTTGGGGTTATAATAACGGCTTAATGAGGTGAAAAGAGCTAACACTAATTGTGCTGAGGAGTGTTCTAAGGGCTTTGATGTGCATTTGTGTGGAAACTGAGTACCATGGCATTAAGATCACGGGCTGGTAAGTGGTGGGGCTGGGACTTGAACCCAGGAAGTCTGGTTCTTCTCTTTTCGGGGGTGATCCTTGACCTTAAGGAATTTATAATTTGCTTGTCTTGGGGAATCCCCAGGGATACCCTCAAGTTTGCTCACTCACCAGAAGGTCTCGCAGGTTGCAGCAGGTAGTTGCACCCACAGCTCTGAGCAATGACAGTGAAAGGAGAGCAGCAAAGGGACAAGGTCCATGGGTGAAGGCCAGAGGGAAGTAGGGAAGGTTTCCAAGAGGCCTTTCCCCGCCAGGCTACACGGGCCAGGCTGGATTTCCCCAGCAGGCGTCCTGTGTGCAGGAAAGGTGGCCCGCACCCAGCAGTCCAGGGTCTTTATGGGAGTCCTTCACACAGGTGTGATGAGGCTCACCAAAACTGCAGATCACCAGAAGAAAAGCAGGTGTTCAGTCTAGACCACAATGTTTAATAGTTCAGGCACAGTGGATGACCCTAATCATGTAGGAAGCACCAGGAACACTCCTGAATCCAGGTTCCCAGATATAAGCCAAGAGCCAGCCTTGCAAGCTGGCCTGAGGATATAGCAGCCTCAGGCCTTCTCTGTTTACTTTTTCATGCATATGCTAATAAACATGTCTTTGTGTTAAAAAGCTAAGAAACAAATGTGTACATAAGCACTTGTATATGGATGTTTATAGCCGAATTATTCATCATAGCCAGCATGAAACAAACCAGAGGTCAACTGATGAATGGATGATCAAACTGTGGCACACCAATACAATGGAGTATCACTCAACTATAAAAGGAATGGCCAGAGTAGGCAAAATTAGAGACAGAAAATAGATTACTAGTAGGTTAGGGTGTGGGGAGAGGAGAGGGAGGATGACCAGTAATGGTTTGGGATTTCAGACTTAGATTGTGGTATAAAGGTTTCACAACTGTGTATTTGCTAAAAACTACCAGTTAAATAAATGAAAAAGATGTTTTAAATAGCTAAGATTCTATGATGTGGCAAGTTAAGTGTGAACTGACTGGTACAGACAGGTGCCAAAGGAGGAGGGCCTCTTGTGAATGAATGTTAATTCACAAGGCCATCAGCAGTCCCTGTGGCCAGGGCCAGAGCACTTCTGGCATTTCTGTTAACAGAGTTGCCTGGCATGAAAATTAGTGGTTTAACAAATTCGCAGCATCATCTATATGTGATCTCTCTGTCTTTTGAAATTCAGGGCAGGGAGTTGTTAAGAAGTGAGTAATACAGATGTCCTCTGGGGGTTTTCTGGCCACCAGAACTACCTGGAAACATTCCCTACCCCCCAAAAAAACTTATTATCTGCTGACTTGCAGCAGTGATTCTGGACTAAAGTGAAAATACTCTAGTGGTTAAAACAGTGTACCATTTACCCTCTTTGGAAATGTTTTAACGTCAGTGAAACGAGAAATGATCAGGTACCCTTAATTCAGCAGTTTTTAACTCTTTTACATGTCAGGATTACATGGTCTCCTCCTTAACCCCTTGTTGTGCTCTTTAAAAGCTAAAGTTCTAGGTAAGGGTGTTTGAGTCCTGAGACCTACAGAAGCTTATTATCTTCAAAACTCCCAGTTTTCCTCTTAAGCTTTACTTAACCGAGTTGGTTGGTCTTCACTACTGAAAATGTTTTCCTTCTTAACAGGGAGAAGTAGAAGCCAGGGTTGAAGAATTAAAATTTGATCGTTACTCAGTATTTCGGCCTGGGTAAGTACTCATGCTGCCTGAGCGTGTAGCGCTATTGCTTCAGCCAGTTTCCCATCAGGAAAGGTTGCGGCCTAAGATGTCCAGGACAGGAAAGAGGACAGCTAGAGGGAGCCTGCGCCCTCTTCCGGGCTGGCAGCTCGAAGCCGTCTCCTTGTGGCTTTTTCCTGTGTGTGTGGGCAGATATCTCTTTCCTCTTCCTATCAGGACACCAGCCCTACTAGATCAGTCTAGTCCCATCCTCAAGACCTCGTTTAACCCTGCTTCTCTCCCTAAGGCCATCTCCAAATACAGTCACATTGTGTGTTAGGGTTTCACCACGCAGATCTTGAGGGGACACAGTTCAGTCGGATACCCAACATGGTTTGATGCAGGTTACTCAGTCTTCTTCTGCTTTGCCTTTTCTCCTTAGAGTCCTGCTGTGCGACAGGCAAGAATCTCGCCCAGGTGAATGGCTGGCTAGGAAATTCTTTGGCTCCTTACCAAACTCTTGGGCCAGTGGCCTCTCTGTACCCATGGTGACTCTGGTGAGAGCAATGCTGAACAACTTGGTGAGACCAGGTGACCAGCAGATGGAAGTCCTGGAAAGCAAGGCCATCCACAGCCTGGGGAAAGCTGACAGCTCTCTCAAGCTGTGACCATGCTGTGGAAATGCTTTTGCCCGCAAATCTCAACACTTAATCACTCAATCTCTACTTTCAGGGTCTAAGAAAATGTTTGTGTACTTTACCTTTGTTGTTTCACTCTTCTCAACCCCAAAGGCCCAAGAAACAGCTGTGCTCTGTGTTCATGGGTTTAAAGCCTGGTTGTAACACTGGTCACCCAGGAGCTTTTGAAAAATGGAAATTTGTTGGCCTTATCTCAAACCTTCTGGGGCTGGATTTGGGGGTTCTGGACATGGGAATCTGTAGTTCTCTTTTGTTTAAAATTCCCTTCAATGGGAGCCAGCTTGGAATGGCCGTCTGCAGAGTCACAGTGGCAGTGTAAACTTTATCAGAGTGCGGTTCTAAAGCTGCTGACATCATGGCCTCTTGAGTTACACAAATGCTCATGAACGGTGCATACCTGGGTAAGTGAATTCGGTGCCTTTACTGCTTCTTTAGAATGTACTACAAAAATATACAGCCAAGCTTACATAATTTACCGGGTGAAATAAAGAGGAATAAAAACAAATGGATAAATCCTGGATACCATCTAGATTATTCAAAAATGCCCAAGTAGTAGTAGCACAGCATTTTGACCATGGGATAATAGCAACTGGTAGTTATCAAGAGCTTGCTATGTTCCAGACTTTGTTATCTATACTTTAATCCTACAAATAGTCTTTATGAAGTGTTATAGTGCTTATCTTTGATCCTTTAAAAACATTTTTCATCCTTATCTCTTAGGTGGGAAAACTGAGGCTCATTGTGCTTAGGTACCTTTACCAAGAGCCCAGCACTGAGGATGTGAAGCTTAAAGTGGCAGGGCCAGGATTCTAACCCAGCTCAGCCTCATCACATACAGTAGTTTGCATTTTTATCCACTCTGCAAGAACACCCCATATCTTTATACGTCCAGGTAATTGTTAATATACGTTGTGGATGAATCAAACGCAAATATTTGGGTTTTCCCATTGGTCTAGGATCCTACAAAATATTCATACAGCCAGTAAGATTCTAGGTGCTCTACTTTTAGAACTGCAGCAAGGGAAAGGAAGATGCACAAGGAAGGGTCAAAGCCAAGGGAAGCATTTTGTCACTGGGGACATTTGACAAGACCCCTTCGATGTTCTATTCTGGTCTTAGTAGCGAAGGGCTGCCAGGGAAGGGTCTGCCGTCAGAGAAAAGCAGCCGTGCATTCTGGTGAGATGTGAGCTTCAACGGACAAGATTCTGGCCCCGTCACCCCTCCAGCCTGGGGGTTAACTTCTTTCCCTGTAGGCACTGAACGATGGGTGTTACTAAGGGCTTTGGCAGGCTTTCCAAGCCTTACAGAGAAATGGGCCTTGCTGAATAGAGGGCGGTTATGCTGGAAATATGAAAAATAAAGTTGGACGGGCCTATGTAAGTCCAAGTCTTTAATTCCCTCAGCAAATGCTTACTCAGAGCTGCCTCTGGCCCTGGGATACATGAGAGAACAGTCTAACGCAAGGATGCCAGACATTCTCATTCTGGCAGTGGCTTGGAAATAACAACTACTGTCTGGCGAGTCTGTGTTCTAGCAGTTCACAGGTAAGGAAGAGGAGTACCTTCAGAAAAGTTCAGTGATCCTGTGAGGAGTGTTTCCATTCAGTACATTTATCCCATAGGCCAAGCTAGGTATAATGTGCCAGAGAAATTAGAGACATGGTCCTCGCCCTGGGGTCCAAACGGTGTTGTAAGACAAGAAAGAAAACAATGGGAAGGAAGAAGCAAGTAAATGGTATGTGACAAGAAAGAAACTCCTGGAGTACCAGGGGAATCTGTTTTGGAAATGGTGATGGGGACGGAGGACCTGCCCACTTGTGTAGCATTCAGTGATTAGCAATAAATAGAAGGCTGAGATCGGAGCCAGGTGAAGGGGTGAGTCGGGCTGGCCGTGTGCCAAGCACTATTACCCTAAGTCCCTGCGACTGCAGACTGAAATGTCATCTACTGAAATCACTGCCCCCGTTCCACAGACATCAGGAACGGAAGGACGCGGCCTGGGACATGTGTGTTCTTCCGCAGCAGCCAGATGTTTCTCTTAAACGTTCCTGATAGCAATACTCCCTTGCATAAAGCAGTTCACCTGTTCTCCATTGTTTAGGATAAAGTTAGCACTTACGTTTAATGAATTAACTTTCTTTTTGGTACTGGGGGGTCGAAGCCAGGACTAAGCTCTATCTCCAGTTATTTTTTTGAGACAGGTTCGCTGAATTGCCCAGGCTGGGCTAACTTGTGATCCTCCTGCCTCGGCCTCCCAGAATGCTGAGATTACTGGCCTGCACCGCCACGCCCGGTTTATAAACTCCTATTATCCTTACTAGCCCTCGATGAGTGAAGTCATAATCCACATTTTTGTCGAGAAAACTGAGGCAGAAAGGGCAGATAACCTGCTCAAGATCAGTTAGAAAGCGACTCCAGTAGGAGCCCAACGCGCACACAGGGCAGCCCGAGCGTCCGCGCTCCCTTTACCACTGAACATTAAAACCCTGTTGGGAGCCGGGGTCCCTACCGGGTCTCTAGCACATGCGCACTGCGGCCGGGCAGCACCCTCGCCCTCACACGTCCGAAGGAACCAGGACCCCAGCCCTCGCCCGCGCCACCTCTCCGCCACCAGAGCGCGCCCTCCCGAGCGCTCGGCCCAGGGCCGCGGGAAGCGCAGGGGACCCGAAGCCCACAGCACAACGGCTGCGGCGGCTCTCCACTGCCGGGCTCAAGGCTGCGGGCCGCTACTTCCTGTCAAGGCCTGGTGCGGCTCCAGGCAGCGAAAACCTCGCGGGAGGTCGAAGCGCCCGACCTCCAGCGCAGCACTTCCTGCGCGCGCACCGCGTCACCCGCGACCGGGTGGGGGCGGGACCCGAACTATTGCCCCTCCCGGTGCCTCACGTGACCAGCGCCGTGGCCGAATAGCCCGGCCGCCCCTCACCGCACGTGATCTACAAGGCGCTCTCCTGGAAGCGCTCGCTTGGGGATCCCGGCGCCCTGCCGCGTGCACGCGCTCATGCTCGTTCCCGGGGCCTTCGGCCGAAGCCAGGCGGCGGCTACGCGCGCGCCGTTGACCCGTCCCCGTCCCCGCCCCCGCCCCCAGGCGCGCGGGCTCCCGGGCTCCGCCACCATGTGCTCGTTGGCGCCGGGCGCTGTTGGTGGGTACCCTGGCCGGGGGCGCCCGCACGCCGCGCCGCGCGGGCCGGGCGAAGGAGCCCCTCCGGGCCGGGCCGGGGCGGGATGGCATGGCGGGCTTTGCGGGGGCGCTGGGCGCGGCGTGGGGAACGGTCGCCTCGGAGCAGTTGGGCACTGGGTCCTCCGCCTCGGGGGCGCAGTGGGCCCGGCGCGTCTGTCTGACTGTCTGCCTGTGCTAGGTGGCCGGGGCGCCGTGGAGGAGGAGGATGACCTGCCGGAACTGTCGGACAGCGGGGACGACGCCGCTTGGGAGGACGACGACGAGGCCGACCCGCCCCACGACGGGCAGCAGACCCCCTGCCTGTTCTGTAACAGGTTCGTCCGCCTGGCTCTCGTGCTCCCTGGAGCAGCCCTGGGTGTGGGCGATGGCTGCTGGAGGAGGAAAGCCCTCCTGGGTGTGGAGGGAGGAGCCCTGCGTTGCAGCCCAGGTGGTGCTGTCTACGACTGGCCTCAGTTCCCTGGCCTCCATATCTGGTGTACACCCTTGTCGGCTGAGATACTTTCAGAAAAAACCACAAAAAGCAGACAGTGAAATGTGCACCTCAATCCTTATAGATCAGGATGGGGTCTAGGAATTGTGGTGTTTTTGAGACAAGGTGTTGCTATGTAGTTCCAGCTGTCCTTGAACTCACTGTGTAGCACAGACTGGCCTCCAACTTGGGGCAAGCCTCCTGCCTCAGTCTCCCCGGTGTTGGGATTCACGAGTGCAACACCACGCCCCACTTGGAATTGCAGTTTTAGTAAAAACACTACCTGAGTTGATTCTAATGTTATTTGAGGAACAAGTTTGGGAGTCACCCTGATTTAGATAATCCCTAAACACCCTTCTGTATTTCGTCATTACTATTAAAAGGGGTTTTTTTCCAGTCTTTTTTTTCCCCTTAAATTCTTCTATGGGTACATTTTAGGTACACAATACGTTTACATTTATCATTGGGTGCTTGTACCTGTACATGATGTATCTTGGTTCTTATTTTTTTCCCATTACTTGTGCGCCCTTCACCCCTCCACCCTTCCCTATTTACATAGACTTCGTTTCCATTTTTTTTCTTTTCTCATAATTTTTCCTTTCCCTTCTTTCCTTTCCCCTTCCCCTCCCACCACCCCTACCCCTTTGGACCTTTTCCT